AAAAAAAAAAAAAAAAAAAAGATAAATATACCCTTAAAAAAAAAGTTAAAATATACTCTTACAAAAATCGAATATATTTCTTTAAATATATATATATATTCCTTAAAAAAAAGTTAATATATACTCTTAAAAATTAAAATATACTCTTAATAAATTCTAAAAAATTCTTAAATAAATTTTTAGAAAAATAACTAAATAAAATACCTAAACGCCTAAAAGTAGAACTATATAAAATTAATTTCTTCTTCTTCTTCCTACTACTATAACCTAAATATAAGCTAGGAAAGCGTTATAACTTAGGAATTAGGCTAATTCTCTATAGCCGAATTTTTAGAGAAACCTTGAAATTCTTCTAGATTTTCTAAAGAATTCGAATTTTGTTTAGAAAAACTTAAATTTTATCTCCTTATTCTCCTAAAATTGGATCTTTTAAGAATAATTCTATACTAATTAAAAGTTTACTAGTATTACCTTTTAGCTAGGCGATTATAGCGACTAGCTACTATTTCTTTTTATAGGCGCTTAGAAGGAGGTCGCCCTAGCCTTTTCTTTCTAATACTATTTTTATTTAGCTAGGTATTATCTAATTATAGCTAATTAAATAGTACTAAAGAAAGAAATCTTTTAGGGTAATAAATTACTCTATAAGAATTAATTTTCTAGCTAAAATTAATTAAATCTTTAGGATCTAGTCCTAAAGTAGTATCTAAAGCGTAAGTATATTAATAGGGGAGCTTATACTCTATAAAATCTTTATAAGAATATCTTTTTTTTAAAAATATTTATAAGAAATTATAAATTTTATTAAGAAATAAGCCTAATTTACTATTCTCTATTAGAAATAGAGACTATCTAGTATCGAGACTATTAAATAAATTAGTATATTTCCTTTTTTTTAAAAAAAAAAAATAGGAATATAACTTCTTTTTTTTTAAAGAAAAAAAGAAATAATAGTATAACTTCTTAAAAAAAAAGACTTACTATATATATTTTAATACTAAATTTTTGCTAGATATAATTAGTAAATCTTAAATTTATAGAAAATACTATATTAATTCGATCTTGCTATTTCTCTATATAGTATAACTAAATTCGATTTATTATATAGAGAGTAGGTAGAGATCTCTCTATAGAGAATAGAAAATTAGCCGATTCTAAGATATTTAACGTAAATTAGCTAAATCTAGGATATTCTTTTAGTAATAAAATTCTTAAAAAAGTATCTATAGGAATTTCGCGAATATAATCTATAGCTAAAAGGTTAATCTATAAAATTTATAAAAGAATTCTATTAAATTCTTATTAAATAGTTTTATAGTAAAGCTTTCTTTGAATTAGTATATCTCTAAAAAAGAAAAACTCGAATTTTAGAATATATTTTCTTTTAAAAAAAAACTTATATTACGAAAAAGGCTAGTAATTTTACTACTTAAACTAGTAGTAATATTTTTAATAATATACTACTAGCAAAAATAATACTAAGTATTTAGATAGATTTTCGCTACTATAGAAGCTAGTCCTTTTCCTTAATCTAAAATAATAGTAACTCTACTAAAATTTAGTTTAACTAGTTAATTTCTATAGGAGAAAATTTGCTTTTTAGTAAAACTAAGAGACTTTTCTAGAAATTAAAGAAATTAAGCCTAATTTTCTTTATTTTTAGTACCTATAGCGATTCTAAAATAATTAGAATAATATTATTATTAGAATCTAATATTATTACTATAAATAAATAGTAAAACGCGTTTTCTAGTAAATTTCTTATATAGGTAGTATTAATTAAAATATACTTACGTATATTTAATATAGCTACCTCTAAAAATATATCTAAAGAAAAATATCTATTTATTAGATATATTAGTATTTTCGCTTTTTTTTAAAATATATATATATATATATATATATATATTTCTAAATGATTATTTTTTTTTTAAAAAAAAAGAAAACTTACTAGAATTCTCTTATTTCTAAATTTCTTTTAAATTTAGTAAGGCCTCCTCCTTTTCCTTATAGTTCTTCGAGTTTTTTTTTTTAAAAAAAAAAAGAGTAAAAAAAATAGTTAGTATATTTAAATAAAAATAAACTCTTAATAAAAAAAAATAGTACTTAATTTTATTTAAATTATTTCTTTTTAGTTACTCTAAACATTCGAAGAAATCGAATCTTTAGCTCTCTAAGCTACCTCATATAGAACCTTTTTCTATATAAAATTTGTTTATTTAATTAGATTTATACTAGGCGAATTACTAGGTTATCTATAATAAATTCCTAGCTATAAGAAGTAAGAAACTTAGTTAAATTCGAATATCTCTAGTTTTTATAGGTAGATTAAGAGTATATATAATTTATAAGCCGTTTAATAATAGAAAGATCTAATAGATATTAGTATATTTTCTTTTAAAAAAAAGCAAAAATATACCTTTCTTTTTTAAGATATATATCTTAAATAGATAGCTATTTACTACTAGATTATAGTAAATATAGTATAGAATTTTCGAATTACTATATTTTATTTATAATTCTTTTCGCTAGTTAATATAGAATAAGGCCTATTTTCTTACCTCTTCTATAGTTAAAAACTCGGTTCTAATTAAAAATAGCTCTATAATCGATTTTTTAAATAAAAAAAAGAAGGTTCCTAGCATTTATAGCCTAATATTAGGCGCCTATCTAACTAAACTAGTAAATATTAAGCGCCTAGTTCTAAGTTTTAGGATTTTAATTATAATTTAACTATGAAATTAGCTACGTAATTTTAAGCTCTAGAATATAGATTCTAATTAAACTAAGTATTTACGTATAGTTCTAAGTTTTAAGATTTAAAAATTAATTAAATTAGATAATAATAGTATAATCCTAATATATATATATATAATATATTTTTTTTTTTAAAAAAAATATATTTACGGCTATTTACTGAGATACACATTTTTTTTCGCAAAATTTCTGAGATACACATCTTAATTCTGATATACACAAATATGTATATCTCAGAGTTTTGCGCTATATACACAGTATTTTATTACCAAAAATATGTATCTCAGAAATGTATTTAAAAAACATGTGTATCTCAGAAAAAAAAAATATGTGTATCTCAGAAATTTAGTGAAAAAAATTGTGTATCTCAGTAAAAAAATTTTTCTAAAAAATATATATATTACTATAAATAATAAATATATTCTTAAAAAAAATTAAATATATTCTTAAAAAAAATCGAACATATTCTTAAAAAAAACTAAATATATTTATAAAAAAAAATTTAAATATACTTCTTTAAAAAAATTAAATATATTTCTTAGAAAAAAACTAAAAATATTTTTAAAAAAGCGAATATACTATTAAAAAACTAAAAATACTTTAAAAAATAAATATACTCTTAAAAAAATAAATATATTATAAATAGAAATATATATATATATATATTTATTATAACTACGCTATTATTATCTAATTTAATTAAGTTTAGATTCTTAAAACTTAAAATTTATAAAAAATATTTAGTTTAATTAGGATCTATATTCTAGAACTTAAAAATGCGCGATTAATTTTATAGTTTAACTTTAATTAAAATTCTAAAACTTAGAACTAGACGCCTAATATTTAGTTTAATTAGTTAGACGCCTAATATTAGGATATAAATACTAGGACCTTTCTTTCTTTTTCTTATTTAAAAAATCGACTATGGGGCTATTTTCAATTGGAACCGAGTTTTTAACTATAGATGAGGCAAGAAAACAGGCCTTATTCTACATCAACCAGCGAGGAGAATCATGGAAAACAAAACGCAGCGATTCAAAAATATGGCACTATATTTGCCGTAATCTAGCAGCAAATGGCTGTCTATTCGAGATATATATCTTAAAAAAGAAAGGTATGTTTTTTTTAAGAAGATATACTCCTATTTTTTTTTATAAGAAGATATACTCCTATTTTTTTTATAAGAAAATATACTCCCATTTTGATTTTTTTTTAGGAGAATATACTAATATTTATTAGATCTTTTTGTTGTCAAACGG